GCTACCTTTGACCTTGAATATCTTAATACAGAAGGGAGTTAAACTTAAAGGAGAATGGAACCTCTTAAAGCATGGTCACCCCCTTGCCCAAGTTAAGGTGTATACACCTATAGGTGTTTATAATAAATATGTCCGGAGCTGGATGACCGCAAGACGTACGGTCGGGGACGTTTCTTTAGGGGCAGTAGGATAAACATCCTTGTATGTAGATTAGGGTGTGCCATAAAAGTCGATTTCGGTTTTTTTTCGCTTCCACGTAAAAATTCCATGAATTAAAAATTATAGGCCGAAAATTTAAATATCAATTTTATAGTACATTTATTGTTCTACAAAATTATTACCTAGAAATACTTAAAAAGTTATAGCCCCCCAAGTCTAATTTGTATGACTTTTTAATGTAGTAGTAATCTTCATATCAGGGGATTATGTAGGTGGTGCAGGTACTAAATCCAAGATTGTAAACAAAACTTTCCCGGGGGTTTTGTTAGGGGAAGATTGGGTGTGGTCTTAAATTGGCTAAACCGTAACCAGTATGACTCTGCGAGGTAAATTGTTCAGAAAAATCCGAGTAAAATTTTTCGAACTTGATGCAAATGAGAAAGTTGTAGATCTCAAAAATATGCGTCGATTGAGTATACGGTCAACCTTATCCAATATTTTCACCCCTACAAAAAATGTTGAAGTTTGTTTATGAAAAAAAACTTTAATTGTATGGTTATAGTTTAAATGTACGAAATGTGAGGTCATCAATCCCTACAATTTGATCCATATGAACCACCCTCTAATTTTGCCCTGTTTTTATTGCAAAAAAATATTGCCAATAAATAAAACTTCCTTAAACATAATTGGTATATATATATCACACCCTCAGATAGAATTCAACCCATTGCACAGTCTGTTAGATTAATTATCTATAGCTAGACAAAATCTAATTTAAAAACTACCTGAAATAAAGACAAATTTCAGTTATCCCTGTTATGATTTCCATTTCTTAGAACGTACTGCAACAGTGTATTTAGCACCATGCAGGCGCCAGTTCCGGGCGTGTCATTTTTTATAAACATATATAAGTATACTTGGCCGTGTATGCGTTGCAGAAAGGTGGTTTGATTTTGACATTGTGTCAAGTTAAATTAAATTTTGAACTGTGCAGCTATGAATTAGGGATTTATAATATCATCAACAGGCTATAGATATAGGAATTCACTTGGTGTTGTTAAATATGGACATTATATATTAAGCAAGAAGTATTGTAATCGAGCAATATCGGGTGCACTCTCAATATTTGTTTTGTTTTATAACGTCTACAGATTACACGCACACGCGTGTGCCTTTATTTATTGCCCCAATTTGCCTCTTTTACAGGGTGTAACCAAAAACCGACTCACTCCTTTTTTATTAGTAAATTTTGGAATAGAGTTGAAATTTGGGAGTAATAATAAAGAGTTAATTTATAATTATTTCAACCTTCAATGGATACCACAAAACTTTCGGTTTCCCCGAAAATAATGCCAACTTTTTTTCAATGAAATACAATTTTTGTATATTTCATATCAGGGGAAAATTTTGAACGATAGGTAGGGGAGACCGGGGCAGCGAGGTCCACCGGGTTAAAAAGGACCACCGGTCTACCGCACAGTAGAACGTTTTAATTTGGCCCAAAATTTCACGTTAGTAGGTTGCCAAAACTTCATGTCAGTGCTGTGTTAATGGCGTACGACCATAAGCAGCTATTTGAAAGTGCTACAAAGAAATCAAAATTTCATGGTATGTTGATCTAACTTTTTCATCGCAATATTGTCCATTCCTGAGAAACTACTGGGGAATTAAAGAAAACTCAGTTTATAATAGTGATCCATATTAAATTTGCTTCAAACCTTACCTATTGGTTTATTAATGCTATTGCATGGAAAAATGTTACGAGGTGATTTCCTGCCTAGCGACATTTAAGGTAATGAGGACCACTTAATTTGGGTCAAGCAGGACCGTGGATGATTTATGTATTTATTGTGAAACTCCGTACACAGAGAGTAAATTTGGAGGAGACGGGGTCCAGTGCACAAGTTGTGAGCAATGGGACCACGAAGAATGTGCGGGGGTAGAAGAAGATGACTTTTTCATTTGCGAGCTGTGCGAATAATTTTTAAATTTTCAATTTGTGCAGGGCGCAACAGAATTTGCTTTTTTTTTGTTTTTATTTAATTAATTTATTTAATAAATTCGTTAAAAACTATCAAGAGGTATTATTATTAATGCGTGCAGGTGCTTCAAATGGTGGACCTTCTTACCCCGATACCCGGGGCATGGAGGACCAATGTAATAAAAGTATTTTTTACCAAAAATGTTACAACATTTTTTTCGGTTTTGTACTAAATTAGTTAGACCATATTATATAGGTTTTTGAAAAAATTGCTTATATCTATACTTTTATATATAGCTAAAATATTTAAAAAAAAATGCTTAAGCGGTCCTCGCTGCCCCGGTCTTCCCTACTTACACTTTTAAAATGATCTTAATTTTTTTTGTAATTTAAGTTTTCCATAAGTGTTATTTTTGTGGAAAACACTTATACTACATATATGTATACTATAATTATAAACCGTTTAAACGGTTTCACGAGATTGGAATATGCAATTCCAAATGTGTTTTAGACTATACTTTTTCTACGTTTCCAAAAAATACTAGGTATAGAAAAATAATTTATTTGGGAGAAAGTTAGGTTGCATTGGTTTAGAAGTTAGAAGTTATTTGTCTCTGAGACGCAACATGTAGGGCTAGGGATCCCACAGGGCATAGGGACAATTTATGTTCCTTATATAATAATAATTCAGGATCACCCGCCATGTCGTAGAATTATTTTGTAGAGCTTATTCACTAAGATACAGCTATTTAATCCGAGTGAACAAATATGAATAAATGCGCGCGTTCCTCGGCAAGGGTACCTTTTTGAGTGTCGCCGTACAGGATTCGATCAAACTACCTGTTTTTTCGAAATTAAGTACTCTGACATGATCTTAACAATATAAAGTGGTAGTTTTCCTCAAATGGTACCATACGATTTTTTTTTAATTTTATGCAGTTTTTTTAAATTTTATCCCACTGTGCGGCGTTGCCAAATATCGAAGGTTAAAACAGTTCACCTTTGACGGGGTTTTGCTTGGGACTATATAGTCAATATTGAGACATTATTACTAATTTACAATATACAGTGCAAATTAATATTGAAAAAATATTTTGTTAAATTGAAGTTATTAGTTATTTGTATAAATATGCTGTATTTATGAAAAATAAATATTTCTTGGTGTAGGTAAATTTCCAGTGGTTTATTTTTTGGTTTTGTTTATATTTTGCAGAGAAGTATCAACATGTGTTTTTAATTAAATATTTTTTGGTATTTATTTTATTAAACAGTTTCAAAAATATTTTGGGATTTATAGGTTTAAAACAGAGGTACTCGAGTACTTTTACTCTTATTCCAATTACGAGTAAAAAGTAAAAGTACCTATTTTTTTACTCATAAATATTTTTGATTTAAAATACTTATTACTCGTACTCACACACCAAATTCAATGTACTAGTAAAAAATACTCGTGGAATTCACGAGTAATAATAAAGGTATTTCCGTTTATTATATCGATAAGTTTTTGCCAAAATATCTCAAGCACCAAAACATTTTGTTTTGAAGTCTGATTTTAATTAAAAAATATATAGTATAATATAATATAATATAGCCCATAGGTTTTATAACAAGTAAGTAGCTAAAATTATAAACTATTTATTTGTTATAAAACCTAGAGGCTATATATAGTTTAAAACAGACTTTAAAACAAGAAAAGTTTGCAATTCTCGAAACATGAGGTAAATTGACAACTATATTTACTATTTTTTTTTAAGTACCTACTCGTACTCTTTACTTGTGTTTTTAGTAATCGTAAAAACTTTTTTCTACTTCAACCTTTAAAACGCCCTTTATCGTACATGTTTCCTTGACACTAAGTGACCTTTTAAATACACATTGACAAGTTGTGGCTTTATGGCGCTTTAGTCACGGGCTGAAGTTAGCAACAGGTTTTTAGTCACGGGCTGAAGTTAGTTTTAAGTTAGTTGACAGTTGTAAAATGTCACACAATCGTTAAAATAAAGTGCCTTTCTTATAAAATAATACTAAATGTGAAAATTATTTTATAATCTCAATACAAAAATACAAAAGTATTAAATAGTTTCTCAACGCCAATATTTGAAAAGTTTATATGAACATTGTACTGACCTTTTAATTTTGCCGGCAGTAAACTATAACTTAAATTCGGGCACGGACTCCACTTAAATTCCTCATAAAACATTTTCTTTACTTTCAATGTGAAAATAATATTATGTCAATTTTCAAGAAATACATTTCGATTTATAACCTTTGTAATCTGTGTTTATAAAATACAAAAATTTGACATTTGACGGTGACACACAGATTCCCCTATTGTTTCATAGATGGCGCACTATACAAATTTATCGTTTATAAACTTTTCTATACACTCATTAATTTAAGCACTCGCCCGCAAGCTTGCTCGTGCCTAAATTAAATTCGCGTATAAAAGGGCGTTGATCAAACTTGATACATAATATACTATTTACGATTACTACTCCTAACTGTATCTCTCTTTCCGAATGTACTTACGAGTAAATATTTTAAGTACTCGTACTTAAAATTTTACGAATACTTTTCAGTACCTACTCGTGCCCAGCTCTGGTTTAAAATTTTCACCTTAAATCCTGGCAATCGTTTCTGCATGGGGCCATAAGTCATTTATTAAATTTCACTTCATTGACCTATTGTGATTTTTAAAAATACGCAGTCAAAGAGCGTTTTTGGAACCGTCCTTAGGTGCCGCTGCGGTCTTTGTTTCAGCGTGCGAAAATTACGAAAGATCCTTACTCGGTTCGTTTGAGAAGGGGATCTCTCGCTGCTTGCTGCGGTCCATCTCGCCTCATCCTCTCCCGCATACCGTCTTCAGTTCACCGCGTGCCTTACCATAGATTACCTAAACAAACCGTCAAAATTTCCGCTTTTTTAAGACGTGCATGTGTCGGTGACCAGTGATTTGTGCAGGACCATCAAGGATAATTTTCATGAAATATTCTATTACATAAAAATATAGGTAATGTATTTTTTTCTTTGCAAAAACTTTACAGGCTATATATAGTACCTTCAGGGCATAATATGAAAAGTAGATGGTTTGTAATAATTTTGGGTTAAAATGTTTACAAGTTCTTTCGAAGGACTTTCTTAAAGTGCATATTTTTGCTTGTTCTAAACACATGCAATATTAAAAAAAGTATTAAAAAAGGTTTTAAATATTTATGTCATCTAATCTCAAATTCTGCCTTCGGTGGACGTGGAACCTTTATTTACAAAAGATTGTAAAGGTATATGATTGTAAACATTTACAAAAACAAACATTAAAATGAATTAAAATACTATTATTATTGCAAATTATTGTACATTTTCATACCTTGTTTATTTTAAGAAATTTTTATTCATATGTGCATGAATGTTTCATCCTTTTTATGTTGCATATCATACAGTCTTAGGTACTTACTTTTTTAATACCTGAGTAAACTTATAATTATTTATTGATATTTAATATTTACATTAGTCCTATAAAATACGGTAAATAAATAAAAGCCCAACTTTATAATAGGTACATCTGTAGTATACATAAACAAAAAACAAATTTTGCAGTTACACTTATAAAATGACAATCCTTTATTATATAATTTAAAAAATGGTATCGATAAAAAACTTTATTATTATTTATAAAATATTACCTGTTTTAAAATAGGAATATTTTTCATTAACACTTAAAATAAGAAAATTAGTACCATACTATTTTCAGAAATACATATAAGTGTAGGTATATGTTATAATAACATATACCTATATATTTGTAGTTATAATTACAAATTTTATATACCTACTGCATTTTATAATTTGTTTGTTTAAATAAAACCTTTAATTGCCAATTTAATTTTTTACGTAGGTACCGACTATTTTATTTTTTAGTTTTTTTTTTAATATTCTTATATTTAAATTAATTGTTTACATTAAATTATTTAATTTAGTTAAATATACATAGAATACATTTAAAAGTAAATATTTACATCTCATGGGTTAGTAAATAAATTATACATAATTATTTTTACAGTATACCTATAGTAACCTATAAGTCTTACGTATCGATAAAAATCTTAAATAATTCACTTTATAATAATGTACCTACTTTACAAGGATTCTCGAGTAAAAATTACTTATTAGGAAAACAAACAAACTATTTTTTAATAATAATGATCTAATTTTTGACAGTTAAAATATTTTCTGTTTTTAAGATAATTACTTGTTTAAAATTAATGCCTCATCTTCTCACAACATCGTTTGGGAAAGTGGCTTTGTTTTATAACCTTTACGCGAACACAATTTCATTTACATGCATTATGTCTTAATTATATTAGTTTAAATGAACCTACAAATTATATTATAAAACATGCTAAACGAGTTGAATCCTTTTAGTTATCATTATCATTAAGTACCTACATATCTTTGACTTTATTTCCAGCAATAAAAGGTAGGTAAGTATTATACCTAAAAAAGCTTTGCATGCGATAAGTAAAATAATTCACCGAAGCGTTTAGGTCAGTTGAGTTAATGACAATGAAAATTTATTTATATATACTTTTTATTATTTGGGTTTTTAGTTTAATTTTTTCATAATTTTTGGGTTAATGAGTTTAATAACTGGTCTAAATATTCCCCTTTAAAACATAGGTTTCTCATCAAATTTTGTCAAACCATAAACTACAGTAATATACATAATGGAAACCATAAAACAAAATTTATAAATGCTTTTTTAAAATAGTATTTAATTACTACCTTACTGTAAAATATTTACAGTACATTGTAAACCAAAAACCAATTTTCGTAAGGATAAAACGCGTACCAAATACAATTTTTAAATGCCTTATTTTCATTTTTGGTGTACACAGCTGACTTATTATAGTGGCACTCTGTTAAACGGAATCGCTTTTTTGGTAAACGTATTGCGTAATTATTAAGTAATTAAAAGTTCGGCCTGTAAATATACTTTTACTGTAAAAATACTGTATATGTTTTTTATCATATAATTCTTTTTCTTAAAGAAAATAGTTAATTTAGGTCCCTAGAGTAGAGTAGTTGTATACAACTTATAGTAATACTATTATAATATAAATATCAGTTAATTGTGGTTGTAACCATATTTTGTTTTAATTTTCTTTTAATACATACAATTAACTTATATTATAAATCAGATAGTAGTTTCCCTAAATTGCAGAAAGGAACCAACCAACAAAAGTCTATTTTGTTTAAACATAATATCGAAAATTTAACCTAAGGAAATTATTAAATTATATCCCTTAAACCTGCATGGTCTAAAATGGTCATAGAATTAAAAGATAATTTTAAAATGCTGTTTTCTGAGTTTCATCATGGTTTGGGTTGGTCCAATTCTGCAGAAAGGCGTCCAATTGTCATCGTGCGAAAAAATATAATAATAAATAGAAATATACCTGCGGCAACGCCCGCTTGGTTCTAAGGAAAAATAAGGGGTCGTTCTGTCGTTAAATACTTTTAAAAATGGTGGATGCGCCAGGGTTAAAACTGAATTTTCAAGTGTCCCAATTTATGCCCTTAGGGATGGAATTTCAAAAAATTTTAGCCCGTGACTAAAAAACCCAAAAGCCACTGTTGCTAGCTTGAGCCCGTGACTAAAACTCCATAGTGTCACAGCTTGTCAATGTGGGATCAAGGGAGTCGATAAGAGTTTTCCGTATATAATGCTAACCATTATATACTGCCCCGGGGCGGCCGCTTCACAACTTGTAGAATGTAATCAGTAATTCCCCAATTTCAATCTTCACTGTGATTTGAACCAATCTGATGTCAGAATGTATATTAGGGTGCTTCATTTTAGAGCGACATTTTTCAAGTCTCACCTGAAAATTTTGTAACCAGAAAACAAAAATTTTGAGCTATTACAAATTAATTAATTTTTATTTTAAGCCGTTGTTAATCAATTTTTAAATATTTCCCTTTAAAAACCATCATAAAACAATTTTTTATTCTTTTTCCTTCGGCTCGTACAGTAAGAATATTTTTTTCGAATTTCTCGTACAGGATGAAATTATCTTCAAAAATGTCTATTTAAGCACGTCTGTAGGTTGAATATGTTCTTCACAAATTGGCGCCATTCTAATCGAAAATCTTTTGATTTTAGATAAAAAACGTAATAACCATTTTGTAGGGAATTTTGTGCCCTACACTGAAAAAAATAAGCTGTTGAAACAACAAAAAAAATATTAATTCAACTCTTTATGCACTTTAAATACAAGCAATGGTTTTTGCACGTTTACTTAACCATCTAAAAATGTCAAATTGTATTGTTTAATTGAACAACAAATAACAGTCAAATGAACAAAATTAGGATATTTGTTCCAATCTGCTAATTTTGTTAATTTAACATTCTTAGAGTGTTAAGGCAACTTTATGAATGCAAATTTAACATTTTAAATTTTAAAATAACATTTACAATTTGTTAAATGAACAAATTTAATGTTGTGGATTAAACAGCAACTAAACGTTAATCTAATAGTTTTTTTAGGTAATCCCAACAATTTTAGTATTTGATTTAACCAATTCCAGCTATTAAATCAAAATAGGATAAAAACTTTAATTCAAACAATTAGTTCATGTAAGATCAATATTTTAAATTGTCAAATGAACAAATAAACTTTGACAAACTCTGACTATTGCTTTGACACCAAAATATAGATTAATCCAATAGGTTTTTTGTTGAAACAACATTTTCAAAAATGACATTTAGGCAAATGTTAACTCAACGAATATATTTTTTTCGGTGTACAAATTTGTTAAGAAATATTTTTCTTTATCTTTACAGCCACTCAAAGTGTCAAATTCTTAAAAATCCAGTTTCTGGCTAATAACTAAACTATTAAAGTTACGTGAAAGAGAAAAATAACTTTTAACAAATTTGTAGAGCACAAAATTCCCTACAGAATTGTCATTTACGTTTTTAATCTACAATCAATATTTTGGTCTCCAAATACGATTTACTGCTATTTTAGAAGATTTTCGAGTAGAACGGCAATTTCTGAAGAACATATTCAACTTACAGACTTGCTTAAATGGACATTTTTGAAGATAATTTCATCCTGTATAAAGATTTTAGAACCGAAATTCGGAAAAAATATTCTTACTCTACGAGCGGAAGGAGAAAAGAATAAAAAATGGTTTTAAAAGGGAAACATTTAAAAATTGAATAGCAACGGCTTAAAATAAAAATTAAGAGCTTTTTAATAGCTCAAAATTAAGGTTAATTCCGTTAAAAGTTGACATATGTCAAATGTTTAACAAATAAAATCGGCTTTAAATTCTTCTTTGTGTTCGTCATAGATAAAGTATAGTATGCAACTCGATTTATAAACTTCTACAGACACTCGTTTTTATTAAACAGTCGCTCGCAAGTGGCAATACTGGCTTTTGGGTATTTTAGTCACGGGCTGAAGTTAGCTTTATTATAAGTTGGGAAAAAATAAGTTTAAATCCGTTAACATTTGACAGATGTCAAAGGTTTAATATAATAAACAAGGACAGGAGTTTAGGCAAAATGCCTTTTTGTTTCTATTTTAGGAATTTGTTTGGGACCTTGAAATTAATCCTAAACTTAAAAAAATAAAGCGTTTGACACCCCTTTATTTTTGCCTAAAAGCCTAAAATAGCGAAATTTTGATTTATTGTCCTAAAAGGACATTTTTATGAGCCTAAAATAGGCACTTTTAATTTTTCATTGCGGAAAAGTAAATTATTCTTAATTAGACCCTGCTTTCATGCTCTTATTTCGCCTAGACGCCATTGGCGAGTACGAGGACCACAAATTACAAAAAAAAGTAATTGTGTTTTTGCTATCTAAATATTTAATATAAATAATTATGGATAATATTAAGTTTGTAAAACAATAGTTTTTACTGCAATTTCCATATATGTATTACGTATATGGTAATTTCAGACATTTTAACAGTTTTTAGTAATATAATTTGTCGCCATATA